GTGCTGGGACCAAGGATTTGGGCGGTGGCATGGGAGGAAGAGGTGAACGTCTGGAATTGGAGATAGGCTGGCCCGGATAAGGATGGCGCGGGGCAGGGGCTGGCCGTGAGGGGAGATGCAGGGTCAGACGGCGGTGCCAGGGTGGGGGATTGGAACAGGCAGCAGTGACGGCCTGGAGGGCTGGCTGTGGTGATCGGGGGCGACAGGGCAGACTCACCGTCCTCTCCCTCCTCTTCCACCTGATCGGCCCAACTGGGCTTCGAACTGCGGGGACAAGTTGGCCAGGAGGAGGGCTGGGTGAGGCGCGGCCCGGCTCCCGCGGCCTCGGCGCACCCAGGCTCCATAATACCCCCTAGAACGCCCAGTCCGCCTCCCAAGCCTCCCTCCATGACCCCAGACTCACTCAAAGTCTCCGGTCGGCATTGGAACACCTTCTCCACGCAGCCCAAGCCTGGGCCAAAGACCGGAAGTGAGAGGAGCACGGGACTTCCGATTCCGCTGCCTAGAGCAGCCCAACCGCTGTGCCCCACAGCGCCCCCGTACGGACGGAGGTAGAGGCGCCGGCTGTGTGAGAGGCTGGGCGCTGGTACCCTGCTAGGTAGCTAAATAGGAGCGTATCTCATTTACGTTTTTTAAAAAATTAAAAATTAATAATAACAACAAAGCTCAGTTATTGAGCTTTCACTGTTTGCAGGAACTGTGGGGAGAAATTATTATTTCCATTTTGCAGCTGAAGAAACCAAGGCTCGTCTCCCTTGTCTGGAAAGAGATTTCCTGATTCAAATTATCAAGATGTCGTGGCTCCCTCAACCATTCTTCCTCCTTTAGTAACTTTTTTTTTTTTTCAGCTGCGCCACGGGGCTTACAGGATCTTAGTTCCCCAACCAGGGATCAAACCCGGGTACCCTGAAGTGGAAGCGCAAAGTCCTAACCACTGGACCACCAGGGAATTCACAGTAACATTCTTGGCTCCCTGGAATGATCTTTTCCATTTACTTGTTTACTGTCCAGCTCTCCCTCTAGAGCATGCATTCTCAATGGGAGTGATATGGCTCCCAAGAGGGCCAAAACTAATTCTTGGGTGGGGAAAACAAAACAAAACAGAACAAAAAAACCTTAGACATGACAATGGCTTGTGGCCCTCCAAAGCCAACCCTCCCTGACAAAATCTTATTCCTAAACATTTAATTTCTGTTGTTAGGGAGAAATTAAATGTAATTAGATTAAAACTGATTTAAATTAAAGATAATTCTATTTTTCTCCTATAGAGAGGCAATAATGAAAAAAATAGTAAAAACTGCTGTAGACTGCTGCAGAAAGCAGACATCTGCCTGTTTCATTCATCTCTGGGTCCCCAGCACCCACAGGGTGTCTGAACTTAGTGCTCAATTAATGGGCATTTGGGATGGGGTAGGAACCATATTATAAAGGACTTTTTAAACTAGACTAAAGAGCATAGGCTGCGGGGTGTGGGTGAGGTCACTGACATGTTTTGAATGGTGACCCAATGTGACCAGATTTTCTTGTGAGAAAGGTTATTCTGGAAGCCTGTAGAGGATAGAGTGGAAAGGAATAAATTAGCAGGAGTCCAGGAAGGAGGCTGGGAAAGTAAGTAAATAAAGAGGATGGTTGGGAATTCCCTGGCATGCAGTGGTTAGGACTTCAAGCTTCCATTGCAGAGGTCACAGGTTCGATCCCTAGTTGGAGGACTAAGATCCCGCAAGCCATGCAGCGCCACCAAAAAAAAAAAAAAAAAGACAGACAGAAAGAGAGAGAGTGTCCACACAGAAGAAACTATTATAAAGTTTGTACAGAGAGCCTATAAACATTTGTGCAAACTCACTCAAGTTTACTCCAAGGAATGCAAAATCCAAACAATGTAGCAGATGGGCAAAACTGTAAAAGATGTATCTTACCCAATGTTAGCAAAGATGTAGAGAAAAAGACACTCCCACACTTTGTTATTCCGTGAAATTATGCAAATTCTTTGGATGGAATATTGACAACATCTGCTAAAACTTAAATGCACATATGTATTTTCCTTTGAACTAGCTAATAACTCAACCTGTGAGAAAAACTTGTAAATGTATGCAAAGATGTGAGAATAAGCTATCTGGGCAGTATTGTTTATGATAACAAAAACTAGCAACGCCTATCTGTCCGTTCATGGGGTTGTTTAAATAGATTAAGACACGCTATGCTGTAATCTATTAAATGCTATGCAGTCTTTAAGGAAGTAGATCCCTTTGTGGTCATGTTAAAAAATATATCTGAGGGACTTCCCTGGTGGTCAAGCGGTTAAGACTCCACGCTTCCAGTGCGGGGCACACATGTTCGATCCCTGGTCAGGGAATTAAGATCCCACATGCCAGCACAGTGCGGCCAAAAAAAAAAAAAAATATATATATATATATATATATATATATGATAAGGAGAGAAAGCAAGATATAAAATGGCAAATGCTATAGGAAACAATTTTGTAAATCTTTAATAGCACATATATATATAAATATATGCAAACTATTTTTGGAAAAGTAATATCAAACTGTTGCTAAGGGATGCTTTGAGAGGAAGCCATTAGGAAAGAAAAGCTTATTTCCGGATTTTTCTGTTGTATTTAAAATTTTTATCATGTGATGTTTTTTGGTTTAAATGCAAACATATACATAACTATAAAATTATACTTCGTATATTAATATATAGCACACATTCATGTAATACATGCGAGATGTAACATATAAATGTATTTTAATATGTTTTTCATATCCAGGAACTTGCACTTCTTCTTCCAGGACTGGCCCAAGGAAATACACATCCAAGTGCACTAAATCATCTGTAAGAAAGTGTCCAGCACAGTGTGGCTTAAAGGATTGGAAAATTGAAAGCTGCACAACCATCATGATTAAGGGATTAGCTAAATGTCGCCCCACTCATATGAGCACCACCCCTTGAGGGAAAACTGTGCCCATTTCTGGCTGCCCAAAAGGACGTTAACCACTAAACTCTGATGCTTCTGGGTGTTTCAGTTTGGCCTCATCTTTACAGGCATACTTCGTTTCATTGCGCTTTGCAGAATTTTTTTACCAGTTGAACGTTTGTGGGAACCCTGTGTTGTCAGATAATGGTTAGCATTTTTAGCAATATTTTTAAATTAAGGGTTTTTAAAAATATTTATTTATTTGGCTGCATCAGGTCTTAGTTGCGGCACACGGGATCTTCCTCGCTGCGGCACACGGGATCTTCCTCGCTGCGGTGCGCGGGCTTCTCTCTAGTTGTGGCACAAGGGCTCTAAAGCACATGGGCTCAATAGTTGTGGCGCCAGGGCTTAATTGTCCCATAGCATGTGGGACAACCAGGGATCGAACCTGCATGCCTTGTATTGGAAGGCAGATTTCTAACCACTAGACCACCAGGGAAGTCCCTAAGATTTTTTTTTTTTTAGACATAATGCTATCGTGCACTTAATAGACTACAGTACAGTGTAAATGTGACTTTTATATGTACTGGAAAACCAAAGAAAAAATGGCGACTCATGATATTCTCTTTATTGATTGATCCATTGATTTTTTTTTTTTTTTTTTTTTGCGTTACGCAGGCCTCTCACTGTTGTGGCCTCTCCCATTGTGGAGCACAGGCTCCGGACACGCAGGCTTAGCGGCCATGGCTCATGGGCCCAGCCGCTCCACGGCATGTGGGATCTTCCCGGACCGGGGCACGAACCCTTGTCCCCTACATCGGCAGACGTACTCTCAACCACTGCGCCACCAGGGAAGCCCCCATTGATTGCTTTTGATATTTGCTTTACTGCAGTGGTTCACGACCAAATCTGCAATATCTCTGAGGTATGCATGTACCTCCTTTTCAGTATTCTTTCTGTATGGAATACTTTTTCTTTTCTCTTTCTTTTTTTTTTTCTTTTTTTGGCTGCACCGTGTGGCGTGCGGGATCTTAGTTCCCCGACCAAGGATCGAACCCGTGCCCCCTGAAGTGGAAGCGTGGAGTCTTAACCACTGGACCACCAGGGAAGTCCCTGGAGCACTTTTTCTTAAACATCAAGTGTGTATTATTTTTTTCTAAAAATCAGGAATTTTCCAAGGAATAATAAAAGGGGGCCCAGGGAAGCATAGGGCAGTGGGGAGAAGGCTGAGTCCAAGACTGAATGGAAAAACGTCCCCGAGCCCTTCTTTTGGTCCTTTTCATGGCACAGACATTCTTTCCACATCCAGAATCTCCACAGGACAGCAGCCAAGACAAGGGCAGAAGCAACCCCTGCAAAAGGCATAAGGAGGAGAGTGTGGACATGCAGGGTGTGCCATCCCTTGGAAATTCAGCAGCAGCTTCGGGGGTTCACTGGATGTCACACGTGGAATTCCACTTCCCAGTATTCTTCATAAGAGCCACAAATACACGTCCACAAAAGACCACGCATTAGAGTATGTACATAGCAGATTTATTCACAATGGCCAAAACTGGGAACAATTTGAATTAGTTTCTGCCATAACAAAATACCACAGATTGAATGGCTTATAAACAACAGAATTTTATTTTCTCACAGTTCTGAAGGCTGGGGATCTGAGATCAAAATGTCGTTCTGAGGCCTCTCTCCCTGGCTTGTGCATGGCTGTTTTCGCCCTGTGCCTTCACATCCTCCTTATAAGGACACCAGTCATATTGGTTTGGGCCCACCCTAATGACCTCATTTTACTTATCTTTTTTTTTTTTTTTGCGGGCCTCTCACTGCCGTGGCTCCTCCCATCGCGGAGCACAGGCTCCGGACGACGCACAGGCTCAGCGGCCATGGCCCACGGGTCCAGCCGCTCTGCAGCATGTGGGATCTTCCCGGACCGGGACACGAACCCGCATCCCCTGCATCGGCAGGTGGACTCTCAACCACTGCGCCACCAGGGAAGCCCTACTTATCTATTTTTTAAAATATAGTTAAGTATAGTTGATTTACAGTATTATGTTAATTTCAGGTGTACAGCAAAGAGAGAGGGAGAGGGGCAGAGGAGGGGGGCTCCCTCCCCCTCCCATCCTCTCCCCACTGCTTTCTCTTCTTTCTGCTTCAACAACCACCAGGCGCCTTTTAGATCAGCCCTGCAGTCAACGTTGATGCTTGGACAGCCTGACCTCCCCGCTGACCTCCAGCCCGGGACCACCGCTGGGAGTTGAAGTCTGTGGGGCCCTGGGCGGCGGGCTGCACAGGCACCTCCTCTGATGCCCAATCTCTCCTCGTTTACGAGGCAGCTGCCAGCTACCCTCCCTGACTCCCCAAGAATTTGAGCCTTTTTAATATGTGTCGATAATGCCATGAGCTACTATTTAACTTTTCCACGAGGACCCATCTCCCGAAATGCAGTGGTTTTCAGCCTTGGCTGCACTAGAGAGCCCCCAGGGAAGGGAGAGAAGTCTCTTCCTCTCTCCCTCTCCGTCTCCCTTTGGGGTGATGCCCGATGAGCTCAGATGCGCAGATGGCCTCCCCATCCCCTCTCTGTGCCTTGCATGGCGGCTGGGCCTTCTCGCTGTGGCCCGGGCACGGCCTTGACATTCAGACATCGGGTCCTGCATGGACACTTGTGTTTGGTCCATACCGCGTGTGGCTGCAGTCTGTGCTTCTCCCGTTTCGCATCTTCAGTAGATGGGGGCTGTGCATGAGCCCTTCATCCTCCCCGCAGACACCACTGGTGCTCACTCGGCCTTGCGGGGGATGCGGGGGAGCACGGAGGACAGTCCTGGGTCCCCATCTTCTTGGGCTGCACACAGGCCACTTTGGTCCTGTGGTGGCTGGGGGCTCCCAGGAGAACCCCACCGCAGAACCGGAGAGGTGGCCCCGGAGAAGGGGGCGTACGCCTGGGGCCGGGCCTCACCAGAGAGCCATGGGCCACCTGCAGCAACAGGTGTCTCACCGTCCAGGGACTGGGTGTTTGGGCGCCGTGGGGATGAGCTGCTGTCTGCATGGCAGCCGAGTTTGTATTGTTGAGCCCGGGGAGGCCCCTTGGTGACTCCTGGAGAGCCTGGCCGCATTTCTTCCTGCCCTTGGCCTTAGAGCCCATCACGGTTCATGCCCTTTCTGGTTCCAAAAGGACCTGTGTTTATAAAGACCACGTGTTAGGACAGCACCAAAGTGTCTAGCGGGATTGGCTGTGCCTGCTAGTGGCCTGAGAGCCCTGCCCGCCTGCAGAGACTTGGCCCGGGGCCCGCGGGGAGGGCGTGGCCCACGGTCCCCAGCGCCTTCCGTCTCTGGGTTCCAGGAGAACTGCGTGATCCTCAGGGAGCTGGTGAGGCTGCAGGCCCTGAAGTCCCACCTGCTGGGGTTCCGCACGCATGCCGACTCCGTGCTGGAGATGAACATGGACAAGACCAGCCAGGTGGTGGCCACTGTCCTAGGTAACCCCGCCTCCCCCTGAGTCCCAGTGGGGACGGGGTCAGGCGGACCTTGACCGGACGCGGTGCTGCCTGAGACCCCACTGTGTCAGCCCTTGGGGGTCACCTTCCCGGACCCTTCATTCTTCCTTGAGGGGCTGGGGGGCCGCCCCAGGGACGTAGCCAAGCCTCTCCCCTCTGCCCGCAGGTGAGCTGACCCAGAAGCTGAAGCCCCTCGGGGAGCCAGGAGCAGTGGCCGTGATCCTGGAGCTAAAGAAGGCCGAGTGCCAGAGGCGGGGCCTGCACTTTGACAGGGCCCAGCAACGCCTGGGACCTGCGCTACTACATGAACCAGGGGGAGGAGACGCGCTACCACGTGGACCAGTGCCTGCTCAGTGAGTCCTTCCCCATGCAGGTGGTCACGTGCGGGCTGCTGGGCATCTCCCAGGAGCTGCTGGGGCTGACCTTCGACCTGGAGGAGGGCGCCAACGTGTGGCACGAAGGCGTGAGGCTCTACACGGTCCGGGATGCGGCCTCAGGCAAGGTCCTCCATCGGCAAGTTCTACCTGGACCTCTACCCTTGGTGCGTGCGTGGGGGAACCTGTCGGCCGTGGGCTGGGGCTCCTCTGCAGAAGCTGGGCCTCACCCCGCGTCCCTCCCCAGGGAAAGGAAGTCCGAGTTTGTATTGTTTGTTTGTTTTTTTAATATTTATTTATTTGGCTGCATCGGGTCTTTGTTGCGGCACACAGTCTTCTCTCTAGTGGTGGCACGCAGGCTCCAGAGCGCCCGGACTTGGTTGCCCCTCGGCACGTGGGATCTCAGTTCCCGGATCAGGGATCAAGCCCGTGTCTCCAATACTCGGTCTCCAGTTTTGAGCTCTCTTTCTCCTTTCTTGATTGAGCCGGCCTCTGAAAGGTTGGAAATAGATTCATTGGTGGTTTTTGTAAGGTTGCTGACCTGAGGCATAGCTGAAGGTTCCTTTGCGGTTGGCTGGGGCGATTTATGGGGAATATTTGAGGGGTTGGCTGGGGAAGAGGACACCATACTGGCTGTCGAAGTGGACAGAGGCGAAGTCGCTCTGGAAGCATGAGTTGCCTGCAGGCCATCCGCTATGTCTTCTGCCTGTACCTTCCTCGTCAACTTTGAAGGTCGGGTGAATATGCCCTTTAAAGGCTCACACTGGAAATACCGAATTCCTGCCACTGAACCATCGTTCTTGCCTGTGGGTTCATCTAAAATGATCCCGGCCCATTGGCCTGGTGCAAACTGGGTTTCTCCCAGGAACTGGATAAATCCAGGCTTATTCCCATTCACCCAAACTCACTCCCCAACTCGAAAATCATCCACAAACTCCTCTTGTGTCTCAGCAGACGGCCTGCTTCAGCCTGCAGCCGGTTTGCCTGCAGCAGGATGGGAGCCACCAGATCGCCATCGCGGCCACGGTGGCCAAGTTCACCAAGCCCACGCGACCCGCCCTCCCTGCTGCAGCACAATGAGCTGGAGACCTACTTCCACGAGTTCCGGCACGCGATGCACCAGCTCTGCTCCCAGGTGGGTGCGGGCGCGGGGCTGCAGGCAGGGGGCGGGGAGGGCCCAGGGCGCGTGTGGTCCTCGGGCAGGCCCTCGCCAAGGGATTCTTCCGCTGATGTCACCCCTCATGTGGCAACGCCCTCAGGGTCAGCTTCCATGTCAAACCCCACGCACTGGTGCGTAAACAATGGAAATGTATGTCCTCGAGGCTCTGGAGGCTGGAAGACCCAGATCAAGGTGTCAGGGCTAGTTCCCTACATGTTAAATACATGTACTCAAGAGTTACCTTTAAAAAAGACAAAAGAAAGGAACGTTGCCTGCAAGTCTGGTGACAGCCGGTGATGAGAACCAGAGGGAAGGCTCTGGGGCCAGGAGCACCGCACCCTGTGAGGCCCTGGGGCTGCTGCCAGTCTCGATGGAGGCTCAGCAAGTCCCAGTGACTTCCCCACAGGGGGCCCCCAGCTGAGCGGCCAGGCCCAGGACCCACTGCTCTCTCAGTCTTCCTGCGGTCAGCCCCTCGTCCCGAGAGCGATGTTCTCACAGGCTGCACCGGAGCGCGTGGGGACAGTTTACTGAGCTGTGCAGCCGTCACTACTGCCGTGTTTTGGACCATTTCCATCACCCCAAAAATGTCCCTCACGCCCTTAGCTATCACTCCTTCCCCTCGGCAGCCCCTGACAACCAGGAACCCACTCTCTGACTCTGTGGATCTACCTGTTCTGGACGTTTCCCATCAGTGGAGTCACACCCCTGTGTGTCCTTCTGTGTCTGGCTTCTCTCGCTGAGCATCGTGTTCTCAAGGTCCATCCACATGGCAGCGAGTGTCAGGGCTTCACCCCTCTGCGTGGCTGAGGGACGTCCCCGTGTGTGGAGGGACCTCTTATTACTAGTATGTTTATGAGCAGAAGGCTTTGACTTTGAAGTTCAGTCTATTAACTGTTTTCTTGCACCTTTTGTGTCCTATGGAAAAACTCCTTCTCTAACCCGGGGCACTAAGAGTTTCTTCTAAATTTTCTGCCTAGAAGTTTTGTAGTCAAGCTTTTCATTTTGTTGTTGTCCACTGTGGTGGAGTGTTGTCTGTGGTGTGAGGCTGGGGGTCGCCCTCTGTCACCACGTTGTCGCCACCGATCCCCGCGCGGCCACATGTGATGTGCGTTTCTGTTTAGAGACACCTGGTCTGATAGCAATTGTTGAGTCACTCACGGCGGGGCTGTAACCCTCGCCTGAAGGAAGCTCATCTAACACACGCACTGTCCCCGTGAGCACGTCACCGCCCTCCTGCACTTGGGACAGCGGCCAACGCTTCAGCTCTATGCTCGGAGCCGTGTTGAGGAGAGAAATCACCCCGAAAACACAAAAATGCACACATCGGGGCATTCAGCAGACCGAGAGAAGGACGCTTGTTTGCAGTTGGGGCTGGAACCAGAAGTTGGGGGTCGAGTGACCCAGGAGTGAGGAGGCAGCGTCTGCCCTGCTCCCTGGGGCCTGGGAAGGACATGCCGGGGTCACTGGGCTCATGTGGACCCACACCTGCCGGGCCTGGGTTCCAGCCCCACTGCGTCAGGCGCCGTGTCTTCAGGAAGAATTTCAGGCACAAGAGGAACAACGAGCACCTGCCAACGGCCGCCATCCAGATCCTCTGTGTCTGCGCCTTTGCCTCCTGGGCGCGGGGCTTTGGCTGGAGACTGTTGGCTCCGTGGGTGGGGAGGGGGCGCGGTGACCCGCAGGACGGCTGGCTCTCTGCCTCACTGTGTCCCGGGCAGGTCTGGGGTCCAGGGTAGGGCCCTCCTGCAGCTCCACAGGCCGCTTTGCAGGCTGAGTTCGCCACGGGGAGTGGGGCTTTGTGGAGGCACCTTCGCAGATGCTGGAGAACGGGGTGTGGGAGGTGGAGCCGCTGCTCAGGATGTCCCAGCACCACTGCACGGGCAGCGCCATCCCCCAGGAGCTGCTGGACAAGCTCACCAAGTCCAGCAGGCCAACCCAGGTGCGGCCAGGCCGAGGGAAGGGAAGGGGGCTCCCGGACCGCCCGGCTGGAAAGCGTGGCCTGGACACAGAGCCAGCGCCCAGCCCCGTCTCCTTCCTCCTGCACGGAGGCTGGGGGGCGATGGGAGGCTGACGAGCGTGGCGTCCGCCTTCACCCCCTCCCTCCTCTCTGGGCTGAGCCCTGCGGTCCCGTGGGGTCCCAGTGGGCCCAGTCCCCCAGGACCCGTCCCTTCAGGTCCTCCCAGCTGCCTGATACCCCTCTGCCCTCAGCGTGGACCCCAGAGCCCTCAGCTCTTCCCACCCCTGGTCCAGCCGGACGGGGACCCTGCGGCGCCCTGGACAGGCAGGCGATGGGCAGCCCGGCCCCTCCCGGGTGGCAGCCCCATGGGGTGGGGAGGGGGGCGGGCACGGTGAGCCACCCACGGTCGAGCGCGTCACCTCGGTGGGGGGCGTGTGGCGCCGTGGCTGCACGCGTCTTGATGGCTGGAATCAGACCCAGCTCTGCCACCAACTGGCTGGGTGCCCGGAGGCCGGTCACTGGACCCCGTTGTCCCTGTTCACCCTCTGCAACGTGCGTGACCCGAGGACCCCCTCACAGGTGGTCGTGAGCGCTGACCGAGTCGGTTTGTGTGGAGGACAGAGAACAGTGAGGCCAGCAGATGAGGAAAGAGCTTGTCACTCGCGGTTCTGGGCAGGGGCCCGCCTCGTCACCTAGGGCCTCCCGGGAGCACGAGGGTTCGGCAGCAAGGAGGGGAGGGGTGGCTGGGGACTGGAGCCTGAGGTGTGGGCCCCCGGTAGGAGCAGCTCAGGATCGGCTAGAATGACCCGGGGCTCCGGGCCTACCTGGTGTGATGAGCGCAGAGGGACGGTGGCCCCAAGTGTGGGAGCCCCGTACAGAAGGGGCTGGGGTGCAGCCCTGCGCTGGCTGGTTTGCGTCAAAAGTCAAAGACACGGTTAACACTTAACGCGGCTATCAGGCTCAACCCAGGGTTCAGCCACAGTTCTTGTTACTCAACACAAATGCTGTCCTGCTTTGGCCGGTTCTGTGCCTTGTGGTGGAGGAAACCGGGACTCGGAGGACTGTGGGACTCCAGTCTCCAGGATGGGCCGAGCGCGGGGGCCCCGAAGTCCTCCGGAGCGTCAGGCGCATGGAGCTTCGAGGCTGGGGGAGGCGAGGGTGTGGACCGTGGGGCTGCGCAGACTGCCTTGGCACCTGAGAACCACTGGCCGGAGGGACCACGGGGACGCCCGTGGAGGGGGGACGCCCAGGAGAGGCGGCCTGCTGGCGCGGGGCGGGGTCCTGAGTGCCGCCCCGCCCTCCCAGGGCGCCCTGTGCTCCTGCCCAGCAGTGGCCGGTGGGGCCGTGAGGCTGCAGGGGGGCCAGTGCCCGGCACGGCGCCTGCTGCCCACAGAGGCCCGGTGTCCCTCGGGCTGCTTCTGAGCCAGGCGTGTCCGACGAGCCCCTCCTCCTGGCAGAGCCAGGGGACACGCTCCCCCAGCGCCCCTCCTGTCCTCCGACAGGCACGTCTGCTCAGCCCGGGAGCGGGAGCGGGAGCGGGGCGGGCGCGCTGAGTCCTGGGCTGGGCAGGGCGCGCAGCCTGGGCAGGTCCTCGAGGCGCCCCGCCTGCTGCTGGCCCGGCAGGGGCCCCGGGGAACCGGCACCTTCTCCTGCACCCCACGTCGCTCCCTTCCCCAGGCTGGTCCATTTCTACCTGTTTCTGCAAACCAGATAGACCCTGAAGGGGCAGAAACTTAGCTCCGTTGAAATGGCTGAAGCTTAGACTGCCACCTTGGGGTAACTCCTGAGGAGGGTCCTAACAGTTAGGACCCGAGGCCCTTTCTCTCCCATCTCCCTCCTCTCACCCGCCTCTTCTCCCTTAACCCCCCTCCGTGCCCCCGCCCCCCGATCTCACGGCCGTCTTCTTCCTTCAGAAAATCAGGAGCATCAAGAAGAAGCTGAGTCTCCTGTGCATCGACTTCAACAAGAACCTGAACGGGGACACGACCTTCCTGCCATTCACGCGCGAGGAGTTGGGTGCGTGCGGGCCCCGCGCGGGGGTGGAGAGGCGTCCGTGTGCCCCTGACCCCCGGGAGGGCCTTCTTCTCCTGAGGTGCTCAGACTGTTTGGGTCCCAAGGCTCTGGATCCTTCCTAAGGGGATGTGGCGGTCTGTCTGCCGAAATTCCTCCCCCGAAGGGAGGTGCCCCCTGAGACCCCCCCCCCCCCCCGCTCTCTGTGATGTTTCTTTAATCTCACAGGGTCCTCCCCCACCTGACCCGGCGTGGGGTCTTGAAGGGCTGGGGCTTGGGCGGCTTTTTCAGCTTCTGCCCTCTTCCCCGAATGCTTTATTTTGAAAACTGCCCACCTGTAGGGAAGTGGCAAGAATAGTACCAGGGAGACCCCGTGTGCTCCTCGGGCCCGGCCTCCCTATGTGGATGCCATGTGTGCTGTTCCTGCGCCGGGGCCTCCGGACACATCGCCAGGAGCAAGGGCGCCTCCTGAGTCCCCGGGTGCAGGCCCCCCTCGGGAAGCGTGAAGCTGTCCCCCAGCCGTCCCGATGGCGGTCTTTTTAAAAAATTAATTAATTTATGTATTTTTGGCTGCGTTGGGTCTTCGTTGCTGCACGCGGGCTTTCTCTAGTTGCAGCGAGCGGGGGCTGCTCTTCGTTGCGGGCACATGCTTCTCATTGCGGTGGCTTCTTTTGTCTCGGAGCACGGGCTCTAGGTGTCCGGGCTTCAGTTTTGGCACGTGGGCTCAGTAGTTGTGAATTCCAGGATCTAGAGCACGGTCTCAGTAGTTGTGGTGCACGGGCTTAGTTGCTCTGCAGCACGTGGGATCTTCCCGGACCAGGGCTCGAGACCCTGTCCCCTGCATTGGCAGGAGGATTCTTTTTTTTGTTTGTTTTTTGTAACCAAAACATTAATCCCAAGGATTCTCACACAACATGTTACAAATGACAGCATGAAAAAAAAAAAAATCTTGCACAGTAACTCAAAACTTCAGCTCTACAATGGACCCTTAAACGGGCAGGACATTGGTATCTTGAATAGTCTCAAATTTCCAAATAATATTACAAAGAGCTATGTATTCATGTACAGCAATCACAGAGGGGACTTATGACCTAA